TGAGTTTCACGATGTGTTCCCTATGCATGTTTCATTGCAACTAAGCTGCAGCTGTGGAACTAGAAGGCTGACAAGGATGGAAGCCTCAGAAAGGTCAACCTCTTTTGTTCTTTTAATGCATCACTAGCCACAAGAGGTGGTGCTAGTAATCAAGTTAATTCTCCACCAGCTCTTCTGTTCAAAAGACATTTTAAAAGGTGAAAATGAAGCCACAATCATTTGGATCAAGTTGGTGTCACCAGGCTGATTAAAAACATTGTTGTTCTTCTGAAAATGATTCCTGAAATGCACCAAATACAGGCAAATAAATAAATAAATTGCATGGGACACCACTGTATAACCTAGAATGTGGCAAATTGTTACAGTTGCAGGAACATCAGTGGCATCATGGGGGGGGGGGTTCAGGCCACACTGGGTGACACACAAAAGAGGGGTGACATCCAGTTGGACCATCCTCCCTCTTCAGTGCAGGAGGGATGAATGCCCACCCTTGCTGGCTGCTCCATCTCTGGACTTCCATCAGGGGAGAAAGCCTGGGATGGAGAAGAAAAAGGAGTGAATGCATACCCTTACTAGCTGCTCTGTCCCTGGGCTTCCTCCCAAGGGAGAAAGCCTGGAGACGAGGAAACAGAACAGACACATGCACACCCTTCCTGCACTGGGTGACATCATAGTTAGTGATGCCACTGAGGAACAGGGCACATTATGCTCCTTTGATACAGAGGCCTTATTGATTTTAGTGGAGAACCACAATAACTATCTCTGTATATAACATGAATGGCCAACTGTCAGGTGTTGGGGGCTGCATCTCCTACCAGGGAACCTCAGGAGTAGCCAGGTAGGCACTGGACTCTGCTGGCTCACCCTCACTCATAAAATAATGTACAAAAATGTTTTCAGCCATGCCCTATGAGGAATGGCTTTGGGAGCTGAGCATGTTTAACATGGAGAAGAGAAGGTTAAGAGGTGACATCATAGCCACGTTTAAACAGTTGAAGGGATATCATATTGAGGATAGAGCAAGCTTGTTTTCTGCTGCTCCAGAGACTAGGGCTGAATCTGCACTGCAGGAATAATGTAATTTGACACTGCTTTAGTTGCCATGGCTCAATGCTATGGAATTCTGGGATTTATATTTTTGTGATATATTTAGCCTTCTCTGTCAGAGAAGGTTGTTGCTAATGCCACAACAAACTACAAATATCCAGGATTTCATAGCATGGAGATGTGGCAGTTAAAGAGATGTCAAACTGTACTATTTCTGCAGTGCATATTCAGCTCAGGACACAGAACAATGGATTCAAACTGCTAGAAAAGTGATTCCACCTAAACATTAGGAAGAACATCCTGATGGTGAAATTTGTTTGACACTGGAATACCAGGGGTCAGCAACTTCTTACCTGGGGCCAGTCCGCTGGTCTCCAGGTCTTCCGTGGACCAAGGGGGGGAAATGGCACCCCACACACGCAGTATGCTGGAAGTACTGTGCATGCGCGCGCATGCTCGCTTGCATATGCGCAGTACTTCGGGGTATACTGAGCATGCGTGAGCGAGTCATGGGTGCCATTTTGTTTTCCAAAATGGCAGCCGCGACTTGTTTGTGCATACGCTGAGTACTTCACATGCACGAGTGAGTCACAGCCACCATTTTGTTTTCCAAAATGATGGCCGCGACTCATTCGTGCATGCGCTGGAATACTGAGCGTGTGCAAACGAGTTGTGGCCGCCATTTTGGGGGGGAAATGGCGGCTGCAACGCACGCGGCAGCGGGTGGTGGTGGTGGCGCCAGGGCCGGCCTGGGGCCGGTCCAAAGGCCTCAGGGGGGCAGATCCGGCCACTGGGCCGTAGGTTGCAGACCCCTGCTGGAATACATTGCCTCAGAGTATGGTGAAGTCTCCTTCTTTTGAGGTTTTTAAGCAGAGGATGGATGGCTATCTGTCAGAGATGCTTTGATTGTGTCTTCCTGCATGGCAGGGGAGTGGCCTTAAAAACACACATAAATCAACTTGTTATCTCCTTCCTTTTAAAAAAAGGGAGGGCTCTCCTGCATGACAAAAATGCCCCTGGTGCCCCTGAGGGTACAGGAGAATTTTGGGACAAAAGAGTGGATGGAGGTTCTCAGGACTTCCAAAAAGGCCTTAGAGGACAGCATGTGACTTGTAAACCACATTGTTCCCTGGTCCTGGTCCTGGTCCAGAGGGATGCACTGATCCTTGGTTGTGTAGTGGTTGTGTAGTGGTTGAAATGCTGGGCTGGAAATTAAGAAAACTAATAATAAATAAACTTTATTTTTATACCCCATCTTTTGCCAAAGGCAATCAAGGCGGCTTACAAATGTAAAAACAGTTTAATAGAAACATACTTTCTATTAAACGATAAAAACAATAATAACAATTAAACCCCCTTTAATTAAAAACAGTCTTAAAATAAAAACAGAAGATTTAAAACTGCCTGCATTCTGGATACGTGTATACAAAGGGTATATATAGCTCGAGGGAGGGACACAGGTTGAAATGGAGTGATCTAGTTTGGGAAAGCCTGCCAGAAGAGATCCGTCTTGACAGCTTTTTTAAAGCTGTCCAAGTTGGTTATTTGACAGATCTCCTCTGACAATGCATTCCACAATCTAGGGGCAGCGGCCAAGGACATCCTCTGGGATGTTGCCGCTAATCTAGTTTTTACCAGTTGCAGCAGATTCCTCCCAGAGGACCTGAGGGTGCGGGGGGGATTGTATGGAAGAAGGTGATCCCTTAAGTAGGTCGGGCCCAGGCCATGTAGGGCTTCACCAACACCTTAGGTTTTGGTCCCCAGTGAGGCATGAAACTCATCTTGAGCCATTCACCATTTCTTAACCTGGTCAACCCTGCAGGGTAAAATAGGAAAGAGAAAAGCCATATACTGTATACCACCTTGATCTCATTGGGGGAATATGTGACTAATAAATAAAGAAATGAATAAAGGCAACAGCAACACACACACACATGCATGTACTCTGTAACTGACATAGGGTTCAGAACAAGCTTTTTAAAAAATGTTTTGAAGACTGGGGACTAATTTTAAATTTAGGAAATCTCCCTCCTTTTTACACTGTCATCAATGTCATTTTGACTCAGCTGAACACCCTCAATTCAATATGTATATAATTCTTTCAAAAACCACTTACATTTGATGTCAGAAGCAGTGTATTTCCAATGCTCTACTAATATTCTACTGTCAATGGTATATTATGGTGTCTGTTCAGGAATATAGATCCCAGCTAGCTCTCATCTTACGTACTGCTCTACTATATCCCAGCCCAATACTAGGGATGTTATCACATTGCTTTTTTCCCATTCTGAGACCAGGCTTGAACCATGTGTTATCACACAGCTCTGTGCCCAGACTGGAAGCATTTCGTTCCTGATCAGAACGATTTCCATTACTTTGCTAAGAACGGAAAAGACCCATTCTTAGCTAAGTACATGAGAAGTTCCAATCTGGTATGGTATGCATCTGATAGGACACAGTCCCAGCCCTGTCTCAGTCTGTGCCCAGATCAGGAAAAGACAGCCAGTGTGATAATCTAGATTTCACCTGATGAGTAGATCGCACTTAAGCCGCTTATCTTCATCATCTCTGAAGTTAAACCAAGACCAATTTAAGGCATTTCCCTTTTACATTCTATGTGTGTTTAATTTACCCCCTTTGCAGACGGTGCTTTGCGCTGTCTTGGAGGCAAGGAAGGGGAGGGGCAGCCTCACGCTGGGCACCCCAAACCCTTCCCAAGGATGTCATCGGAGCACCCACCGTTGCACACAGTGGGCACTCCAATGACGTCCTTCCAGCTCAGCATCCGGACACACTGAGCCAGAAGAGGCGCAGAAGAGCTGAACGGCAGCTCTTCAGGCACCCCTTTCATGGCTTGTGGAAAAAGCACTATTTTAGCACTCCTTTCCCAGGTGGCAAAAGGGAGGATCAGGGAAGAGGCATGGGGTAGCCTTGGCCCCAATCCACCACTTCCCAGGGTGGCCCATGGCCGCCCGTCTGCATCCCCCCTTAGTTAATTTAGAACCAAAGGACCCTGTCATACCCATAATGGAGTTCATAATTTTTCTCATTATATTTATAGATCACAAATGAGTAAGATTGTAGAGGGAAAAGTTGGCAACATTATTGATTGTCCATGCTGATGCAGCCCTTGCATCTGCTCAGTGTGGGGCAATATGCTATACTACAAAGTTGGACTAGTAATGCATGCTCTCTTTGCAAATAACTCTGTTGCAAAGTTCTTTTGATGACTCTTTGGCTTAATAGCCAAAGGAAAGCATATTCACAGGAACTGAAAACCAGAATTTCAAAATTATTTTGGGGGTGGGGCATGGAGCAGCAAGGTATCTTTCTCCTAAAGCAATATGGCACTGTGGTTTCATAAATGGCCACCATCACATTCCATTAGTAAGCAACAAGAATTCTTAGAAAGTTAATATAGATGTACTGTGGTGTGTCCTTTAATGGCATTTAAAGGGTCACTAATCAATGAGCAAAAGAGAATTTACATGACTGACTATAATGGCTTCATCAGATATTACTGGATTAATAATATGTATTCTGAAAGTTGTGATGGGTGTCTTATGTCTGCTTACCTGATGGACCAACACATCTCTTGCATAAAAGCATTTTTGATAATCATAAATGTTTCATTAGATGTAGAGCTTTTGAATTCTACATTTCTAGCAACAAATGCTATATTATAATAAAAGTGACCCTTTTAGTACTAAAATGCAAATATTGCTATAGCTCTAAACCTGAGGACTATAGTGGAATGAACAATGGCTTTGGAAAGGGGCAGTTACTGTAATAAATTGAAGGGTTAGCTTCACAGTATATTGAACAACTGAGGACAGTGTAAATTGTGTTGAGCACAATGTAAATATGGCAGAGCCTAAATTAAGTCCTTCCCAGCCTTCCAGAAGCTAATAATGGTTTTTATGGGCTAGTAACTTTAGGCAAGTTTGTGAACTGGTGTGATGTAGTGGTTTGAATGTTGGACTATGACTCCAGAGACCAGGGTTCAAATCCACACTCAACCATGGAAAACCCACTGGGGGACATTGGCCAAGTCACAATCTCTCACCCTCAGAGGATGGCAATGGGAACCCCCCTCTGGAGAAACTTGCCAAGAACTTACCCCTCTGAACAAATCTTGCCAAGAAAACCCCGTGATAGGTTCATCTTAGGGTCATCATAAATCATGAAGGCATGCAACAAAAATATAACAAACTTTGGGGAACTTAGTTTTTTGTGGTTTTTTTCGGGCTGTGTGGCTATGTTCTAGAAGAGTTTCTTTCTGACGTTTCGCCAGCATCTGTGGCTGGCATCCTCATCCTTTCTCTGAGGATTCAAGCCACAGATGCTGGTGAAACGTCAGAAAGAAACTCTTCTAGAACATGGCCACACAGCCTGAAAACCCCACAAAAAACTATGGATGCTGGCCATGAAAGCCTACGACTTCACTTTGGGGAACTTATTTGGAAGACTGAAATAAATGAGCCCCAGTGTCAGAAAATGGCCAAAAGAAAGAGGCTGAGCAGATGGGTCAGAATAGTTTGGGGTCAGCCCATGCTATCCTGGTCTCAGTGCTCACTGAAGTTGGTCTCCAGGTTAATGCAGGGACATTAAACACCCATACCTGTGCTGACCCAGGGCCCACTACCAGCACATGTGCCTTACTTTGCAGAGCCATCACAGGTACTCAGAATCCCCTTGTCACCATATCTGATGCAGAAACAGGGATACCTGGCTGCATCCATGCAGCCAGGTGCTCCATTTCAACATCCAATGCAGTGATGAGGGGCTTTTCAATACCAGCAATGGCATGTGAAGGTAACGATCACAGGGGGGCATGTAAACAGCCAGGGTTTGCCACAGAGTTTCCTGGAAACTCAAAACTCACAAATCATGGGTCAGATTGAAGTAAAGGCTGTTTACTCCCAGGACTGGGTCAGATGTCCAGATCTGTGTCCGGTCTGGCAGGATCAGTCCTAATCCTGCCCCTGGGGTTTTGGCCTGCATCATCTCAACTGGACAACACAAGGCTGGGAGGAACACAGGCCTTTGGCCCATGTGGAAAACCTCAAAGAGAGAGATCTGTCTTTAAGACTAGCCCTGCATTGACCATCTGTTATCTATTATATATAAAAGCCAGGGGTAGTTACTGATTAGTTTGCTGTGGTAAGGTAACCAATTGTTCAAAAATAACATAGAATTTTTATCTGACTTGTCTTCATTTGAATGCTAATGGAGATGGCCTCCCCATTCTCCCTGTTACAGGAATTTGTAAGACAGGGGTGGGCAAAGTGCAGCCCCCAAGGCCAGTTTTCTAACCTCCCAGGGTTTCCCACTGGTCAATTTATTTCAAAAAACTTTTTTTATTAATTTGGCTCCGAAATGACCCCATATACTCTCAAATGCACTCTAGGGGTGTGGATGACCCTTTCAACACTTGTGGAGGTCCCTTGGGTCTCCTCAGAGACAAAAACAATTTTTGCAATGTGTGTGTGTGTTGTCCTGAAATACAAGGGACATATTTCCATTTCACTTACTGGGAAGACTCCCAAACACATTGAAAATATCCCCTACACATACTCTCAGCTCCAGAAAATCACATACTAGGTTTGCCTTAGAATTGCCATCAATCACAACTGACTTGAAAGCACACAACAACAACTACAACAAAGCCTTCCATAGTCGCCCACTGCTGATGTTTGGGAGAAGACTCGCTTAAAATCAGACAAATCTGACATATCCTTTGTCCTACACATTGGACGTTATCACACGCGGGCCACAAAGTGAAAAGAAAGTGAAAAACAATCCGGAAATAAACCGAAATAAACCCTACATTACAGAAATGGCTATCAGACGCAAGTAGCATAATTTCGCAATTAAGGAAAGCTCTCCTGGAAACCGTATTTGCTGTTCACACACAAGTGAGAAAATCCCGTACATGTACTAGAAATGCTCTTCTAGCACATGCGCAATACAGCTGCGGCTGTCACTTGCCGCGGCTGTCACCCCTTCCCAAGTCGTCCTCGGTGCAGCCGGCCCTCTGCACGGCCGGCACTCCGAGAAGGACCTCCCACCACAGCGTTCTCCGAGGAGGTCCTCCTTTGAGAGCCAGCACTCCGATGAGGTCATCCTTGGAGTGCAGGCCCCGCGCAAGGTCAGCACTCCAAGGAGGTCCCCCTCGGAGAGCCAGCACTCCGAGGAGGTCCTCCTTAGAGATCCAAGAAACCGAAATTCAAAAGATCTTGGTTCTTTCCACTTTCTGTCGGGGTTCTGTCAGGGTTTTGTGCAACGTCATGCGTATTAGGTCAGGATTTCGTTTGGATTCTGTTTGGATTGGGCCCCGTGTGATAACGTCCCTAATGTAGGGGAATGGGAACAAACACCATAGTTCTGCTTGTTGCTTTTTTGTTTCCCTCATTCTCCTTGTGCAAAGGGTAATTGTTTGTGGAAAAGAGCCTCCTGTATCTGTTAAAACTCCCCAGTGTTGTAAATCATATGGAGAGCCTCCAGAGATACAGACAGTTTTCCTTTACAGACAACTGTCCTCTACAGCTGGAGGGTAACAAAGATCAAGATAGAAGGGGCAAAGGGTCATATTTGTGCCCATTCCCTCTCTTCCTGTATATACCGTACATACTTTCAAATGCCTGTGTAGGGATTTGTTAGGCAAATACTGGCAACATGTTGCCATGGAAACTATATAATTCACAAACCTCTTTTTCATATTGGATCATTTTTGTGGAAATGTCCTGAAGAAGAACAACTATCAGTGGAGAAGAGAGAATATAGTCTTTATAGCCATCTAGTATGGGAACACACTGTACATTGACAAAGAGGCTATAATGAGTACTATTTACACTAGCATGAGCAAATTTGTGACCTGGTTCAGTATGGGAATCATTTGGAAAGTTGTGTTGAATTGCACATAATACTTTGAGTCAACATTAATTGTGAGCTATCCCTGGAGCAATCAAAACAGTGCTTTCTTAGACATTGTTTGTCCTGTTTAGCTCTAAGTGTTGTGTAAGAAAATGTGTAGATAGCTGACAAAAAGAAATATGGAAAGAACAACAATAAAAACTTATCTCTCTCTAGTGGGTCATAAAATGATAGCTAAAATAGAATCCTAAAGTCAAGAAGCCTGGAGTATTGATGATGAAGAACTTAGAAGAATCAGATGAAGAATCAGGTTTACCTGTTGGCTGTACAGAAACCAGTGACACTAAGGAGTCATATTTCACCTGTATGTCAAACTCACCTTCAAGAAGTATACTGTGTCTCCATCTGCTGGACAGCAGTATAACCCTATTGTGTACCAAAGATCTGAGAACATAAGTTGAGGTGAAATCATTACTTTTTCTCCTTTCTCTTTTCTGTCTGATATGATCAACTTGGAAGAAACTGTCACCAATTTCACACTAATTTTCATTAAGAAAAGCATATTCTAGAAAGAAACAACCAAGATTTTGCAGTTAAACAAAACAATAATGAAGCAAAAACCGCTGAAGCCATCACAGTGTTCAGAATCTCATAGCAAACTGCAACTATCTTTGGCTGCACAACATTATGGAAAAGTAGGAGCTGTTTTGATCAAAAATAGAGTTGATAATTAATCACAATATTAAAGGTATCTCAGGAAGCTTTTCCCTGGATGGAGATGCAATACTGGGCAAAACCTGTTTGATTTCTGCAAGTTTTACAGTTCTTAAAGGCATAGAATTTGTGTCCATAAAGACATTAACATCCTAAATGTTAATGTAATAATTTTTGTTAGCAATATGTATGACTTATATTGATAACTGTGCCATTTATTTTCCAGGGGAAAATTCAGGAGGACTAATAAAGGTAAGAAACTAATGATTCAAACAAGTTCAGCAGAAGGGATTTTACTTTCCCACAGTTTTTTGCAGAATAGCTGGCTGCTGAGTGACTCCAAGAGAGGATGATTTGGCTGATAGTTAGAAAATGTAGGCCAGTGGAAAAGGCTTGGCTGTCTCTTTCCTGATAGCTTCTGTAGCAATATACCTCATATTCCTTCATGTATTTTTCATGGAGGACAGCACTACATTAATCTGATTTCTCCATCACACATTATTAAGACATTATAACAGTGTATTGCTGAGTTGTTTGCATGTTTTGCACATTCATAATATTGGAACATAGATGATCTGTAATAACATTCTTTTCTCTGTCTTATAACTATGACTAATTATAGATAATAATGCTCTTCAGAAATACAATCCAGGCAAACAGTACCTCCATGCTCAGTTTACCAGGTCTCAGAGAGCTAGCTGAAGTTTCAGCAGATTATTAAGGGTTTCCAGGTAAGGACATATGCTTCAGGGAAAGTGGCACTGATAAAGTCTGATAAAGTATCCTTTTATTGTGTAAGGTGGCTTTAAAACTTCAGTGTCCATAATAGAAATGGATAGATAGAATGCCAATTTTTATCTTCTGCTTGGTTTCTGGGGGAGAGTGGAGTAGCCAGGCACAGCTCCACTAGGAGGGTGCGGGAAGGTTCAGACTGCACCAGGTAACACCTGGGTGTGTATGACATCACTGCTCCTGAAACATCTGCTTCTTGGCAGAAATGGGCTGTGACATTTGCCTGTGTCCCATTAAAATGCTGAAGAGATGGTATTAGTGGGGTGACAGTGCAAGGAGAAAAAAGAGGTCCTGGTTTTTTAAATTTAATTTTATTCTTTTCAGTTTTTCTTTAAAAACATCACCTTTTACCAAATGTTCACTTCAACCACATGAAACTATGTATATGTAAATACATTGAGGCTATGCATATGATATTGTAATGCAAAAGCTTGATTTTAATTTTGCTACTTGTTTATGTTACATCTATTATCATGACATTCAGTGATATGCAGGAATTACGATTAATGAGTAACATTAGTACAAAAAAACATGACTAAAGATTCTGTATGGTGTGGGAAGGGAGGAGGTCAATGGGGGGGGGGGGTTTGAAACCAACCTTAGTGATGCCATTGCTTGGCCCCAGTGGCTGGTGAGAAAC